TAGAGATGGTGGGTCTACGAAAAGAATGTCGGTGCTCCAGAGTTTGGCGACGAGTGAAGATGTGATCGATACAATCTCGACCAGGTCTAAAACCAGCCTGGTTCTCACGCGTGCACCGTTCACGTGCGGCATGTTAGGACGGAGCCTAAGAAACCCGTCCGATCGAGCAAGCCTCCGAGTCAGACCACACGCACGCTCCTAACGCTCCAGACAGGCTGAACCTGATTGGATGATCACGGAACGTGTCAGCCAATGTTTTGTCCAATCGATCAATCGATATATCAAGGACACAATCTGATTGATGCGTCACTGCGCCGTTCTCGAATGCACGATTAGTCTATATGTTTCGCATATCGATACTTATCGAAGAATACACGCTGACTGTGTCTAAACCTGTTCTCTCTCCGCGTTGTCGTTGGGGGTTAAGCAAGAGTCGCTCGTGTCATTCGTACGGTTAGACCAAACACAACACGGCAGACAATCGGCGGAGTATGTAGCCAGCGAGAAGTTTAGAGACGATGTTGAATAAACTAATTCCTCCATGGTTTTCACAAGAGGATCTATCATCTTTCTTGTAAATCGGTATGATGACCGATTCACACCATTCGGCTGGAACTTCTTCCCTTTCCCATATTGAGCCCAGGAGTTTTGTCAACTCCAAGACTAACGCTGATGGAAACAGCCCATCTGGACCAGAGGCCTTATGTCTTTTGAGATAGCTCATTTCTCGGGAAACCTCTATTTCAAATGGAGGACTGATATCGACTGGCGCCATTGGCGCAGTCGCGGTGGAGGGTGATAGTGCAAATGCCGATGGGGACCAGTTGAACTGAGCCTCGAAACGTCCCCAGAATCATTCTGCGTTTTTTATTTTGAGGACGCATTTCTCCTCATTTCTCAACAAACCGTTTCAAAGTGAGGTCCTACCGATGGAGTCGAGATTCTCGTGGATGTCTAAGAACGCCCTGAGCGTTGGTCTGCGATATGCATGACGGTACTCTAGCAATTGTCGGAGAGTGAATTTTCGATCGATGGATCCACGACTGGCGCCAAACCCAGCCTAATCCTCGCATGCATTGTACAACCTACGAAGTATGATGGACGCTAAAAGCTTCAACGCTATTAGAATAAGGTGTGTCCCCCTATTGTTGACGCAAACACTGTGCGTGCAGTTTTTAAAATTGGAACAACCATCTATTGCCCATGCTCGATGTTTCAAACTCTAAAGAACAGAACCGGAAGTTCTCCAACAAGCTTTACTCCATAAGAACTCGCTAACGCATCCAAATCAGCTTAATAAGCTCCGTTGGTTAAAACACGCTTTGTCCGACGGTCACCTGCCACAGCGAGTCTGATTGGCAGTGGTTGCTGCAGACTGGCGAAAGCCACATGGAGGCCAGCAGATGACGTGGAGACAAGGCATGAAGAAATGCAGAGCGATTAGATAGATATCTCTCCACTCCCTGGTTGGGGTTCAAAAGACTCCGTAACCGCATGGTTGGAAGGTCACGGCAGCAAACCGACAGCAGTGGCCATCTTGTCACTTCTTATCAAAGTACAACGCTTAAAATAGTATATATGAATAGTTGGACTGTATACTCTGTGTTGGTCATAGATGTTCGCTTTCTTTTCCCGTCACTAAAAATAGGCCCAATGCCTGCCCTCCTTACACACTCTCACTAACCTTGTATGCATTGCGAGCTTGGCAGCGATCAGTTAAGTTCGCTTCACTATATTACACTGTACAATGATGATGACGATGAGTATTCATTCCACCAACTTAAGGAGCTGTGGAAATGCAATCGAGATCCTGGGCCTTGTGATAACCCAAGTCTTTGATCTCTGCGGATACCCAATGGAGTTTGATGGACGGGTACCATCGAGGTGTTCAGCCACTGAGCAGGAGAACGACTAGGGTTCTCAACCAAAGCCTTTAGTTCTGACAAGAACCTAGCCGCAAGGCAGCGGGTTAAGCGAAGTGAAGGCCTATTCACCTGGAACAGCTACTCCTCCAGCTTTTTTCACCGACTTAGAAGCAAATTCTAGTCGAACCCTTGGAGGACCAAATATTGGACTTTGTCTGGCCTCTACCCTTCGACCTTCTAGATATGATTAGATCTTCGGCCTGACAAAAGCCATATTGTGTAGCTCGTTGGGTCATAGAGGTGCACAAGCCATCACACCTCGTCAAGGTGCAGTCTCGTCGTGATGGCTCCAAACCAACTAAAAGGGTTACGAACCACACATACACCTTTGTGGTTGTAGCATTGGCCAACAGCTTGATTGGGTATCGAGGTGTATTGGGCACCTTGGACGTTTGACCCCGTCCACTGAGCGTATGATCCGATGAACTGGGCATCGGCCCCTAATGTTTACGGTTTTTATGCACCGCTCCGCTGCCTTGCGGGTCAGACTTCAGCTGGTCAAAGGCTTCGGTTGTGAATTCCCTAAGAAAATTCACCTGCATTGGCCCGGGCAACCTGGCAGTATTCCGCCCACAAACGAATCACAGAACATTCATTTTTTATAAAAATTATTTTACTATGAATTGTTTGGCAGTCTGATTGCAGACGAGTGTGAAATACATACATACATACATGGACAGCTTGGCGCAAACTAATGCGTGATTGGATTCGACGGAGTGCCCTAGTGCTCTAGTAGGATGGGCAGTCTTGTATGCAACCGCGCCATTTGCAGCTTACACCGATGTGGTCGGTCTGCGCTCGTTGCTGACTCGAGGATAGACGAACTGTGATGTGCCGGTAATCGGATTGTCTGAAGTTCGAACTGGCGAGAAATAGGCGATAGGTGAACGGCAAGTTCTCGTGGTTGTGGTGTTTATTCGACCTGCTGTTCATCAAAGGTGTAATGGAGACGAGAAAATATGCGGGGAATACACAAGCACCTGAAATTCCTAGATGAAATGAACGCGATTAACTGTAGAACAAAATGGGATAGCAGTGGAAGAAACACGGAACTGCAGTACGTAAGAGATATCATGCATCATCTAACAATGCTTTATTTCACAATGGTCAATGACTCACAGTAACGTGATTGCTGATTCCGCGGTTCCAACCAAAAATATCAACCAAGCGATAAACTGAAGCCAGTTTGCATCGAACGAGTCGTTCACCTTTTTTATAGGTAGCAGGTTGGTATGTTTTTACGTCATTGATGGGTACCACCGGCATTGTTGCTCCTTGAAATAACCACAAAATTTTGAAGTTGGATGCAGATTCACGGGCGAGGTTATATAGCATAAGAGTGGTAACAACTCAAGTGACCAAATTAAAGAAATCAATCGGATTCCAATCTGGTAACGCAGAGTGAAGGCCTTCTCCAATGCCTAATCAGATTGCAGTTTCTTAAGGCATTTCCTAATGGTTAACCCAGTGCCGGCGTAAATAAAAACCATATACTCATGAGATTGTGGCGAAAGCACGGGTGCAGCCGTTCTAAACCGAGTGAGTCCTATGCGTCTCACTGGACCCTTGGTCTCATAGTTGTTTCGTATTTTCCGTCTTTCAGATTGCTTGGAATCCCCTCTAAGGAGAGCCTGCTGTCAGGAGTGTCTTATTTGTGCACTGAGAGCGCCAGTGAGTAGCAGGGATTGCTCGACCTTTGTGAGCGACGCCAGTAGTGCGAGAGCTCGGAACTTAAATTGATACAGGGACTCACGACAACTGACAAACCTCTCTTTAGCCTCAGTGGAAACCCAGCACTGAGAGTGCACGCAGGGAAGCTTGGCAAACCCAGGGCGAGTATGATTACCAGAGCACATTTTTTCTCGTGCAGAGTGATTAAAGCCTAGAACAAGCTACATACGGATGTGGTAGCGACAGAAACAGTTGCCGTCTTTAAGCTCCGAAGCGACTAGTGTTCAGAGGAAGTGTTCCCGGAGAGTCTCTATCTTTAGGAATACCCTCAGACTACGTACTGTTTCCTTTCGTCCTGCTTTTTGTATTACACACCTGAGCGTGATGAACAGCAGACGGGGCGAACCCCATAGTCACGAGGACCTGCTGTTCGGTGGAAACCAGCAACCTAAGCCCCGGGACTTAGAGTGACGAACCACATAAGGTTAGGCGAGCTCTGCTGTCGTCCGGTGATGGTGGCGGGACTCGAACCTCGGAATATAGGGTCCAAAGCACGCCGGTGACAGCGACCAAACCACTGCGGCACAGCCATCACTCTATTCACTCTCAAACCCCACGTTTTAATAATACTCGACTTTTAATTTACACTGGAGCATCTTCCCCCAACTCTTTTGACCTGCCCGAGACCCTGCTGGAGGGATTGACCACGAGGGGGAGTGTACGACATCGGATAAGCGGCGTAAACCTGCACAACTCCGAATGACTAGTCCTGACAAAGTACACGGGCTACCACCCTTAGTCTTTCGCAGACGGAGAACGACCAAGAATACATACGATGCGCTGTCGAAGCACTGTGAGAATACGATCGCAGCTCACCAGTGCAAGAATTTGGACGGTACCTGGCCTCAGTCGCACGTCCTGGGACTCGAACTGACCTAACCTGACCTGACTGCTTTGCCCCGAGTTAACCTCCTGCCAGTGTTACGGATGGATTCGGAGCTGGAGTCGGTATAGCTCACTGAAAGACTAGGCTCGAAAGCGTTTCTCAAAGTCTAGTAGCGAAACGGTACCCGAGGAGGGCAGCGGCGGGTACTGACGGATTGCTCCAACGTCCTGTTTATAGGCTATTACTGACACTACCAATGGGAGTAGTGAGGTGTTGCGGTTAGTGCAGTCGTGTAATGGTTCAAAACAGGGGTTTTCATCATTATCAGCATTAAGGAAAGGTGCACCATACGTGAAGGAATCACGAACACGTACCTTTGGTGAAAGCTGATGATCCTAATTTTGTTTGTGGTGTCAAGTAATCGATTATTTGTTTGAGAGCAACTAGATTTGCATTGAGACATCCTGACTTCATCTGGGATGCAACGATCTTTTCCAGTTCTTTCCTGAAATACGGTGATCTCAGGATCAGCGAGACACGCGCCCGTTCTTGCATTAATTTCACATCCTCTTTGATGGACGGAGGTCGAAGTAATTCCTTTATATATTCAGGGTCATGAACATCTATCACAAAGATGAATGAAAAACCATGGTTTACCTATCTCGTCGATGAACTTATCAGCCGGTGGGCTTGTGCCAACAGCTACCGCCATCGTTTTTTACTGTCACGGCAATTGACGCGCTAAGACCGATTAGACAGCCTGAAATACAATTCGAGATACAAAAGTAGCGATCTAGCACGACCAAAGCCTAAAGCATCTCACCACTGCTAGGTGTACATCGCAGTGATAAACGGGAGATGTTTGACCAAATGAGGAGAAGACGATTATCAATTCTATTCAAAACAGTAACAACATATTCCTAAAATCGTTTATTGCCAAAAACCTTCAGGCAAACAAACATTCCGCTCTTTGAGGGTCAATTTGTCAGGTCAGGTCAGTTTACAGGACTGGTGACTGGTGCCAAAGAGAGTCCAGTTTCTCGCTCAATCGAGCTCCAATGTTCTCGATGCGCTTCGACAGTTTTCGAACTAATATTTTCCGTGGGTTTTCTCCTCAACAGGATCACGTAGAGGCCAGGAAGGCATGTCTGAAAGACTGGTACGAACCGGCGACCGAAAACAGTCTTGACGGAGTGCAGCTGCTACCGGAAGCAATAGAGACACCCGATCTATCAAATGAAAAACAACTGGAACCCATTTTCATCCCTACTAGAAGGTTTGTAGGAGGTCTGCCAGTGGTTTCTGGGTTTCAGATTCCGTGGAGCGTCATGATTACTGACGACCGCTGGTGTTATTTATTTATTTCACGTTCGATCTCACATACGCAGAGATATTTGGCGAAAGTAGTCTTGAAGCCTTGAGGTGGTTCACGGGTTCGAGGATGTTGCCCAAATGACCCGGGTCCTTGAAAGGTACCTTTTTTATTTGGTTTGAATTACTCTAGAACAAAAAGTAGTGATAAGGGATTAATAAGGTTCCCCGCTCGAGGCGAGAAACAAAATGAAGACTTGCAAACTCTTATATAATACAAAAGGTTCTTTTCTTTTTATTGGGAGGAGTACATAAACCTATGTGGCGGTCAAGACGAAGTTTGAAGACCGCCTTGCTGGGGG